AATAAAATTTTTGAAAAAAACGACAAAAATTAGTTGACAACCCAATACTACTCAGAAAAAACGTCAAGAAGTTTTAAATGAAATGACAGAGATTTCCATAGATAAAACACGTCAACCTTTTGGTTATGAACAATTAAGACAACTTAATCTTAAAATGTATTCAATTGTTGGTAAAAACCCAGATGGCCAAGGTTGTGATAATATACCTGAGAGAGATAAAAATATCATAGATATTGAAGATGCCAAACAACATGAAGCACGTAAAAAAAAATTTTACAGTGCAACTGATCTTAATTCAAAATTAAAAAATCGTAAGGAAAATCAATAAATAATCATCAACTAAAATTATTCGAGAGAACCTAAAGAACATTTTTTATATTTTTTTAAATATTCTATTCAATTATTTTAGCTAAGAAAAAAAGCAGAATTTAGTTGTATAATATATTCAATTTTTGATTATCAAATTGAAACTATTGAACCTTTTACATTTTGAATATTTGAAGAAATGAAACAATCTATTATAGAATATTAGAAAAACATTAATTGGATCATAATAAAACAAAACTTTTTAAATTTTAACTTATTTATATGATATTCGAAAAGAAAATCATCAATGTAATTTCAAACTGAAGCTTTTATTCAAACCTCTAACCAAACAATTGGAGATGGCAAGAGTAAAGCCAACAATGATTAGATAGATTTCTCTAGTAAACGGAGAACTCGAAAGATCAATAGAGTTAATAAAATTTTTAATTTTAAGCAAAAAGTTTTTTTTCTTTTGACGATAATATAATTATAATAATTTACAAAGTAAAGATCGAAAATTCGTAAAATGGGTGTGAGTGTGCGAGTTGCATATTAGAAGGTTAAAATCAGTTACTGCTATTCTTCATACACTTGCATTGCAACACAGGTAGCAGGTTCTGTTTCATTTAAATTCAATTAACAAATAAAAAGAAGAACACAAAAAAACAACAAATTTCCATTAAGACATTCTAGACAGAAAGCAGTAAGAGAAACATGCTTTTTCACTCAACGGCCCATCAATTGAAACAGAACAGATTTCAATTTTAACAAACAAGAACGAGTTTTATTTTCTGCGTCACATACTAGACACACTGTCGCATCATGCCTGTTAGTTCAGACGCTGTTACAACGTTTCTACCTCGCCGTTATGTGCCTATTGATGAGAATACGGTAAGAAAACTAAAAGTACTGAAACACAAAGGCATGACAGATTGTACACTCTGATTACAAATACAGAATTTAAAAGGGTGACTAAGATCATTGCTAATCAATGTCAAAAATTGCCTGCCATCTGATTGACCTAGTTTTGATCGAGAATAACTGATTTTATTCATTAGTTTAGCAATAGGATCTCCTGTGGTGTGGTACCTATTTTAGAAAACTGCATTACTAGAAAGAGTTTCTTCAAAAAATCATTTTTAGAGTTTAAGAAATTATTCTCAAGAGTTTTACAAATTGTATTTGTGTCAATCTTTTAAAATTTTTCAGCTGAAAATTCTGATAACAAGACATACTATAATAAAAATGTACTAGGTAATCGATATTCAAACTTCACGCCAAAATAATGAGTGGTACGATGTCTTTTATTACATCGAACATACCGTTGTTCAAATGAAAATGATTGATTATGAGGCAGACTTCTAGTATTTCGAAGCTTATATGATGGAGGAGACGGCTGCTTGCTCATGAGCCGGATTAATGGTTCATAGTAAGTCATAGATTTCAGAACAATGTGAGAGTGGGGTTGGTTTGAGGAAGATGGTGTCAGTGTGGGTGGGACCAGAGGCCACATGAAGGACCTTAGGTTTGGCAGGCTGTGAGAAGTTTTCGCTGAAGCAAATGGTGTAAATGAAGTGTTTGTAATGAATTTTCACAAAAATTAGGAAATCTTACGGAAAATTGACTGTTTTCACTGAGATAAGTTGAGAATTTGAAGTTGTTTTGGCGTGGTTCATTAGCGCAGGTCCTCTGCTTTCCGCTTCTGCAAGCGTAAGTGTAGGTGGTGCATAATGGTTGAGGAGCTTTGTTTTTGCTGAAATAGAACTTCGATATGCATATCCACAGTCACAGTCACATCCTAGCTTTATGATGAACTGCTCACATGAGCAAGTGTTCTAGCGAGCAAATGTCCTTGTGCAACAGTCCTACGAGCAACTGCCCTAAACCTATATGATAGATATCAGTTAAGTGTGAACGTGGTTACTTATACAAGATAGAGTTGCACCCATACGCACACCTGACAGAATATGTTGTGTACTGTGGTTGTCGATCTTCGTTTAACTCATGTCTATGTTCATACCCAAATTCTTCTGATTTCAACGAAAACTCCACGTTAAAGAAAACAAAACTGATCTTTCGTACATTTGAATCAGACTTATCAACTTCTCATGTTCGGCTAGAAATGATAAAACTGGGAAAATCTTTGTTGTTGAGCTTTTTGCTAGGTCTCATAAAATAGCATATAGCCTAAGCTGATATGCTCTATCATAACTATGTTTCTTGTGTAGAACCATTGTTCAATTTTCTGTTTAGATCTATACATCTTCAGATACAACCGTAAAAGATATTACACTTGATCTGAAAGAAGTACTTGAAATCCCTACCGAAACAAATAATACAAGCAGTGATCAGTATGTATAATTCGTAAAATATCAACATTTATTTTCATTTTTCGACAAAAGTAATTTGTTTTTTTTTTTTTTTAGACTCACCACTAATGGCTCCTGGAGAAAAGTACTAATCACTCTCGTTGTAATTGTCTTGATTGCTGGAGTAGCCACTGTGGTTGTGGTTTCTGTTGTTTTAACGTTGTCTACGCAAACCACAAGTAAGTGTAAGGTATTTATTGAGCAAGAATAATTCAAATAGTACGCCCATATATAGTTTGACACTAATGTCATAATGAGATAAAAATAAGTGACAGTTAAACTGAATCCATGTATGTGATCAAAAAGAAAAATTTCAATAGTTGAATTTATGGCTGCTCCCCGTCATTTTATAATATCGTATATATCTACCAAGTTAGGATCCCACTTCCTCTTATCTCATACATCATGATAGTGATTTGAGAAAAAATGCTACCATTTTAAATACAAAAGTTCCGTCGATTGAAGGAAAGGCCATATGAAATAAAATGCGTTTGTATGTACGCATGCATGCATTTATGTATCAAGATCAATGAAACATCAGAGTCACAAGTAATACTATTTGAAAGATTTTAAATAGATTTTCTTAAATAAAAACAGGTGTTTTTAAGAAAATAATGACTCTTTTTTTATAAATTTTGAGTTAGTGTTCTCGAAAATGAAGAAGTCGACTTCATCAGTCATGTGTCTGACAAATATTATAGAGTTTTTTTTGTTGTTCTTGTGCAGTTTTTTTATTTTATGCGCCTTTTTCATTTACAGTCACATTTTCAGCATCTATTGTGTTCAGTTTGTAGTGTTTTGCTTTATAATTTTGGTATTGACTCTAAAATTCTGCTCTTTTTTATACATTAATGAAAGACTGCAAGATTTTTTCTTCTATTCATTCATATTCACTATTATAAAGAAATGAATTATCCGGGTATGTTAATATAATCGTTAAGAATATATAACTATTAGTATCAACACCCATAGACGATAAGATACATTATCAATCTAGAGTAATGCGTTTCATTAAATTCGTGTTGCGTCGTACTCATTTTCCTAGAACGGTCTGTCATTGAAAGTAAGCTAGTCTTCAGACATCTTGTTCTTCTTTCTAAATTTTGCTCGAAAGGTAGCACCAACTTTGAAGAATTTCGGGAAAAGAGAGGATATTGATTCGACTGTTAGAAATGTGCACAACTATCTATATTTTGATATTCTAATTGACTTTTTCTAAAAGATAAAAGTCGATCATTCAGTCTAGGATACAATCAGTCGAAGCGATGAGAGTTACTTATAATAATGAATCACATAATATCTGCTCGGCATGTCCTTTATCAATTTTTCAGTAGAATGATATTAGTTCTCAATGAGACTATCTACCGTAAGCGTCTATTTAGATTGCGATTCTCTTAAAATTCAAATTTTCTGATAAGTTCCGATTTATCTGTGGGCCAGAGTGTGAAGGTTTGTTATGGATGGATTTTTGCACATGTCAATGATTCTCAATGCCATTGTTGGTAGTATTGAGTTCAGATTTCAGTGAAGATAATGTTGCATGCTGTCTAAAAGTTTTATCAATATAGTTACGAATTAATATTTTTTCGAGTAAAGTTGATTGTCAATGAGTAGAATTCATATTAGGACAACAAATTTTGTACAAAAACCCATAAAGGCAAGAATATTTGTCGCCACATCTCTGATTCTCTCATATACATACTTAAAGCCACATGCTGATAGTTATTTGTATCTGCTCATCAGAATTTCTTTCATCATATGTGTCCATATTCTGCAACTAATATCTTGTTGTCATACTATTCAACACGCTAATCTACGCTACTTTCTAGTAGTTTTTCACAGTATTCACATGAGGTACAGTATATTAAAATTGATGTTGTTTGGTTCAAGACTTACTCCCATTGTATGTGCCTGGCTAGTACGTCCTATAATCACGAAACTGGCAAAAGTACTAACATCGTAGAATATCTAGTCATTTTGCAGAATAAGCTCTGATGTTGGAATAGACATCGTGATTGAAGAGAATAGAATTTGCGCTGCGACACTAGTTTATACTGATAAACTATTCCTTGTCATCAGAAAGCATAATTGTTTTCAATGTTTTACATTGGAAAGGTATTCTCTTCGGAAAGAGGTCAAGTTCAAAATAGAGTTACTCCTTCTTGTGATGGATCATCGTATACATGATAACCATTTTCGAATGAGAAGCCGCCATGACGTGTATGTACCAGTAGTACCATATATTTTGATTCACAAGTCAGTTTCAAGGAGCTTCCAAATAGAGACACTGGTTTTGCAGTTAGATCCTCTCATTAGTTCAAATCAAGCCCAATAGCTGTTAGCTTCAAATACATCAAAGTAGAAATAAATGTTAAGTTTTTTCGGATATTTGAAGATTTGGTTGCATGTTGCTGAAAATTTGGGTGTGGGTATGGATGAGTGTGGGTCGCTGTGTGGTGTGGGTATGGATGTGCCCTGGGTGTGGAATGTGGCCTTATTCCTACTCTTTAGCCACACCCACACCCTTCCAGGTTCTGTTCGAAATAAGTATCAATTAGTTGATCACATGTGTTTTAGCTACGACTACCACAGCTGCTACATATATGGCTAGTGCCTACTGGGCATTTGATAACAATGCACTTGAACTTTATAATAGCAGTTTAAATGGTGCTCTCTCTGGCAGTCCAAGCTATGTAACTGGTTTTAATCAATATGGTCAAGCTATCTCTTTAATTCGTTCCTCTACTCAATATGTTTATATCACCCCAACAGTGCTTCCGTTTAATTCGCGTAGTTTCACAATCGAAGCATGGATCTATCCAATTAGTTTTTCGAGTAGCACTGAGTATGGAATATTCGGTCAATGTCAATCGACTAGTACTAATTTATGTTTATACTTCGTAGTTCGAAGCAATAAATTATATTGTGGATTTTATAACAATGATGTACAAGGTAGTACCTCTGTAACGACGAATCAATGGAACCATGTAGCTTGCACATATGATTCAAGTACAATGACACAAAAGGTGTGGCTTGACGGTAATCTTGATGGTTCACATTCTTCCAGTGATTACAGTGGCCTGTCGGGCACAACAACTATTGGTGCCACTTTTGAATTAGGCAGTGCAGCTACATTCAATGGTTACATAGACAACGTACGATATGAATCTAGAGCTAAGAATTCAACTGAAATCCAGAATGACGCTACTTTACAAATTTACTATTCATTTGATAGTAGTTCACTTACAGATGGTGGTTCTAATGGTATCAATGGTACTGCTTATAGTGGAAGTCTATCAACTACTACTGGTCGAGTTAATCAAGCAATTCAATTTAACTCGGGACCTTATATAAGTTACTCATATCGTCCATTTTACTTTTTGGGTGTCCGTGGTCAGTCATATACTATGGCTCTATGGGCAAAACCAACAGGAAGTTATAGGTCACAGACACTTGTTTTTGTAGGAATAGGGGGTAGTTGGTGTGTTCACTTTTTGGTAACAATGTCGAGTGGACAGTTAAATGCAGTTAGTTGGATGGGTAGTAGTAATGAAGTTGTAAATGGTCCCATACTTACACTAAACACTTGGACACATATTGGCTATACATATAGTTCAACTAATGGTATGCGATTGTACATAAATGGTAACCTATACTCGACGAGTGGTGTGTTTACGTTTTCAGCGTTTGGTAGTCCGGTGCCTATCATAATAGGTGGAGATTGAACTGTTCGTCAATACATGTGATCGACCATCTATTGAATCATTGGCATGTAGAGCTTCACTGAATAACATAAAATTTGAATGTACGAAATTCGGGTCTTACTGCAAGCTGTACTCCACTGTATGGGGGTGCATTTAACGGTGCCTTGGATGAATTTTATCTTTATAGACGGGAATTAACAGCGGCTGAGATTTGGTCGTTGGCCAATCCTTAAGCTAATACTAATCGGAATCTTTTTATAGAACACGACTACTATGATATCTCTATACCTTACTCGGTAGAAATGTTTTAGAGTTGAACCAAATTTGAGGGTGTGAGTGTGAGTGTGGGTGCGGGTGGGGGTGGGTGTGGATATGTTGAAGAGAGTATTCAGCCACACACCCACACCCACACACCCACACACCCACACCCACACCCAAACCCACACCCGCCCACACCCACACCCACCCACACCCACACCCACACCTACACCCACACCCACACCCACACACCCACACCCACACCAACACCCAAATCCACACCCACACCCACACCTACACCCACACCCACACCCACACTCACACTCACACCCACACCCTTCTCGTTGATGATTAATGACCCTGTGCTCTTTATTTTGAATATTTTACTGTTACCACATGCAGCCCTTCCAAACAGAATGTGTGGATGAAAAGAAAAAAAACAAGCAACAAGAAGGCAAAAATATACTGAAATATTGCCATGGTGCAAGAACGCGACAAAAAATTATTTGACGAACGACGCACTCGTTTGACTCGCACAACACTCGAGCAATTCGGAAGAAACCATCAGTAAAATTGATTCGGTATGGCTGATTTTCATTATTTGACTTGAATGAGGATCTTATTAGGTGAATTTCTAAGATTGCATAGAGTATCTCAAACGTTATAAACAGAGCTAGATGCAATACCTCAAGTAAAGAGGTTTCGAAGAAAAACACAAAGACACAAGTTAATTCAAGACTTTATTTCAACGAATGTTCGAAGTAGTTCCTCTAGTTATTTGCATAGAATCTGATGGGTTCAAGTCACTAGTTCTTTATAGAAACAATCTATTACGTCAGTTTTACGAAAACATAACATGTGAAGTTCATGCAGATTATTGAGTTCCTATTGCTAACAACCCCTATTTTAGTCTATCGAAAAAAAAAAATCACGAAATCCTAAAATCTTGAATTTCCACGAATTCCAAAGATTATCTATGACTCTTTAGCATTCAAAGGATTCCTCAAAATTCCCCAGATTTTCTATGCATTCCCCAGGATTCGATGAAACTCCCTCGAAAGGGTGTGAATATTGGGTGCGTATGGCTTTTCTATCACCCACACCCTTTATGTCTTTGTTTCCCACATTGAACTTTTTCAAGTAATATAATATATAAGTAAATGAACGACTTAATATTGAAATATAAAACTTTTATTTTTAACAGCAGCAAAAATGTTTTGTAATTGACAATATCAGCCAAGACAGACTATCGAAAATGACAGAATTTACTTTTGCAGAAAAACTGCAAAAGTAAATTCTGTATAGACTATCTTTATGATGGAACTAACTGATATTGTGCAATTACATCGGCACTATTACATAGTGATATATACACCACGACCATTGAATGTTTTTTGTTCTTCGTATAGTATACATATAGGCTGTTTATAACTAGCGAACTATTGTTTTTTACTATACG